ACGCCCTTCAGTTTTTAGGGTAAGGATTTTAGAAAAAAAGTATCGTCTTATAGTCAGAAAAATATGGTATATGTGTGTGTGTGTGTGTGTATCTATGTCAATATCTATATCTGTGAACTGGTACAGGATATTTTCCATCAAGAGGAAACAGTCTTTCTGACAACACCCCATGCATGATAAAGCCGGAGTTCATCATGCAGCAATAGATTCCAAATTTTGGGTATATAGTTCAACATCCCATTGGTATCTTTCAGCCTTATTTCTCATCCCAATGCCATATTAATCAACGTAAAAACATTAAACCAAAACAGGACAATCATAGAACAAGCACAAAATGTAAGTCAATGGCTTGTTACACTTCCAATATACCAGTGCTGACGGCCAACTCTTGCTAAACATTCTGCGGGGTGTCCAATACAGGATATTCCAACTCTTTTTTCCAAGTTATCATTATCTATCTTAGCAAAACTCCAGTTGTTTATAAAAAATAAACTCTAGATTTCAACACGTTCAAATTAACTGGATGAGGGCATAGAAGGGTAGCTTCTGTGGATTGCAGCCACAAATGGCAACTGCATTTGTACACGAATCATGATTCAAAAGCTGAAATATTGAGCTGAAATTAAAAGATGAATTAAAATCCTACCTTTTACTCTCCTAAAAAATAATTTAGAAATACAAATATATAGGATGGAGGAGACTGACTTGTCACAACAACCTAGATATTTAACTTGGCTCACAAGCTTAAGCCAGATGTGTTGTGCAACTGCTTATTCAATCTGAGGTTGTATTAACATAAGCAGAGTGTCCAGATTTCAAGAAGTAATGGAAACCAGTTAAAACTAACTATCCCCTCTCAGTATGTATGTACAGTATGGAAATTGTACATAGGATCATGCTGGAGTCTCACTAGTACAAATCAGTTTATGATCTAGGAATGGTGCCTTTTTGTAGATGGGTTGTTGCTTTTGTGAGGGTGGAGGAGATGATTAAAGGAAATGACCTTTGATTCCACTTTGTAACTTGAAAAATCTCTCAGAATTATATGCTGATATGTTATGTTTGTACAACAGACATATATAACACCAATTAGCATGAATATTGGAAAAAGGTTTAAATTCAAACATTAATAGAAACCAAGTAAACATTAGTTAATTTCTCAGGAGTGCTAATTAGTCACATAGAAAAAGTGGAGACTGTCATTCTTGAGAACAGAAATTCATTGCAAGAAAATGTCCATTTCCCTCAGAAAGTCACAGAGCACTCTATGCTTCCGGAGCAGGGACTTCTAATGAAGATTTCAGAAAATAAGTCATTTAATGCTGTATAGCCATGGCAGTACTCTCCAATGAAAGGCAGTGTCTGATAAGGAAGCAGCATGCATCAGGAAACATAGAGCAAATCTGTCAGTCGGCATCCATCTTGCTGTTTTGTATCTACCAAGAATGAACAACAGAATGAAAAACAACCAGCAGATGTTACTCTTCTTCTCAGGGAATAAGATGTAATATCTCCAGCAAACTGTTCTCTTTTGAGTTTATAAACCAAGAGAATACATCAGTTGAGCCAATGAGAGGTAGTAGATTGGCATATAACTACCTAAAGACTTGCCTGAACAAATTATTATTTCCCAGAGTAATTTATTAAGCTCGTCTCCTAAACTCAAAACTGTATGCAACCATTTCATACCCACTGATGCTTCTTAGAATAGACTGGTTTGAGATGAAAGGAAAGAAATACAGTAAAATTTCATCTATGGAAACAGGGAATCTGCTTTCAGCATAAACAAAGGATTAGACTGATATCCTTTCTCATCATGAAAGATGCATATAACATACTGCATATCACATACAGGTAGTCCTCGCTTAACAATGGTAACTGGGACCAGAATTTCCATCGCTAAGCAATGCAGGAGTAAAGCATGACGTCATGTGACCACATCACTTAGCAACAGTAATCCTGGCAGTCCCCATTGCTGTCATTAAGCAAGGATCATAGGTCAGTAAGCAAGGACCTCCTCACAACTTCCTGCTGGCTTCCAACAAGCAAAGTCAATGGAGAAGTTGGCAGGAAGTCACAAGTCCCATGTGGCAGCAAGCTGGCTGGCAGACAGGTAATGGCTGCTGCGGCGCAAGCAGGGCCAGGAGCGGCTGCTGCCGAGTGAGGGAGGGTGCGTGGGGGCTGCCATGGGTGGGAGGAGTGCTGCAGGCATGCATGCGCTACAGAGTACGAGATCCCTGGGGAGCCCTTGAGACAAAAAGCTGCAGGAGTGCAAGCAACTTACAGGAGCTTCTTGCAACCTTCCCTGCTGGCTTCCCTACAGACTTTGCTTGTGGGAAGACAGGAGGGAAGGTCGCAAATGGCAATCACATGATCATGGGACGCTGCAACTGTCATAAGTGCAAGCTGGTTGCCAAGCACCCGGATCGCAATCACGTGACCGTAGAGGTGCTGGGATGGCCAGAACTTCGAGGGCTGGTTGTAAATAATTGTACTTACCACTACTTACTTAGTAGTTATTCAGCGTCATAACTTCGAACAATTGCTGAATGAGTGGGTGTTAACTGAGGACTACCTGTATATAACCCTAAATTTTAAGATGATTGTTCTTCCCAAAACAAGAGTTGGCAGAAGAAAATGCCAGGCAATGTCCAACTTACCCACCTTGTCAACCAAGAGAATCCAACTTAGTTGAAAACAGTCCTCCAAGCATCTTATAAATGTATGCATCTGTTACTCGTGTGTGTGTGTGTGTGTATACACACACGCATGCACACATATACATACACACACCTGCTCAGAAGTCACCCTCCAAAAAAAGGCAGGACTAGTAACAAAAAAAAATGTAATTCATTATTACTGATTAAAATTAATTGCTTGTAAAATAAAGTACCCTCTTCAGTGTCATAAATATAGTCAAAGCAGGGGTGGGGGCAGTCTTGGGGCCTGGAGGCACTGGGCACCTGGCTGAAGCTGGCTGTATTCTGCTGCTGGGCTGACATATACTCATAGAAGAACTACAACATTGGCCTGCGGCAGCATGATTGGTAAAAGAAGGATCTGCTCATCTGAGTATGCTCAGTGTGACAAATAGTTACTTTTGTATTATCACATGTGTGTTTACTGGAACGCTGGTGGAAAAAAACATGTTGGAAAACTTGTATATGTGCCAGCAGCTGTGAAGAGGCATGGCCAGAGTTCTCTTTTTCCTTCCATCTGGTGGAAGAGCACTGGTGGACTCCTAGGTAATGCTTTTCTGGTGGGGAGTTTTTTGAGTCTGTGTGGGGGCCAGGGAGAGGAGAGAGCCGGGGGAGGGAAGGGGAGGGGTGGTGAATGGGAAATGGACAGTGTGAAGGGTTGTTATTGAATGCCAATTTGGTATGCAACAAGACCTCTCTCGTTCATTATCTGGTTCCAGATGAGACAGCTGGCCTGATATGTTTAAGCAAGAGTGGGTGGGCCTGAAGGGGAGTTTCCCCTCTCCAAGGTATGTCCATCTGGGTTTCAAGTCTGGCACCAGACTCTAGGGAGGAACATTCTGAAGTATGGAGCAGAGAAGCAAACACTGGAAATGATAAATAAGAAAACTCCGAAAATGAAAACTTGGTAGGAAATCATGATGCAGAAGAGCTGTAAAAGTTTTTTCTGTTCCAGTAGAAGAAATCAAATCATCCATGAACATCTTTCTTTGATGAGGGATATCTTGAAGGAATGAGTGTCCAACACGACACCGAGTTGGGTTAGTTACTGGGAGGGGAACTGACAACTGTTGATTAGTTTCTGAAAAGGGTAAATAATAAAATAGTCCCTAGGCTGTGTGAGAACTCCAGAATGTATTCCTGAGAAACTGTCTCCTGGAACTATAAATCCATGTGGATTACATCCATGCATGAAAATAGTTCCACTTGATCAATTGCTGAGTAGGGGCATCAAGCAGATGAATGCCTCTTTTGTGTTTTCTTGTTGACAACTCCATCTGGCATTGAAGCCACCTGTGAATTAAGGCTGTCACAAAAGCAAAATTGATGATTTTGGTTTGTGTTTTCTTTCTTGCCAAACTTTTTTCTTGTTTTTTGTTGTTATCAAAGAAACTTAAAGGGATATTCTGCCACCCAGTTGTTGCCACTGAAATCCAGTGGCATGTTTTTATTAGATTTTAATATTTGTACATAGTGTTACAAGGTTTTTGCAAAATGTTTAAGTGTTGGAAGGTTTGG